AATTTTCCAATGCCAATGATATTGATGAATGGATAGACATATTTCTAAAAATACAGACTGTACAACAAACAGTGTCCCACAAAAACTAAACAGATTACTAATAAACAACTAGCTTGCCCATGGTTTACTAACAGCATTCTAAGATCCACTGATAAGAAACATCAATATGAAAAACAATATAGACAGCAAGGGCTTAATAACTAAAGAACATCAGCCCTCACCAAACTAATAAGAAAGTTCAAGCATCTGTACTATTCTAATAGATTCACTGAAATGAGAGGAGGTATAGAAAAGAACTGGAAGACACTCTCAGATCCATGGTACCCAAAAGCTGAACAAAACTAGAGATATTGTCCTAACTCAACCAAATGAACTCCTGCCTATCAAAACGGCTAACACGATAAATGACCTCCTCTCAACCATAGGATCAAGTCTCACCAGTAAAATTCCAAGCACCAATACCCGAGTGAGTGATTACTTAGATGGAGACTTTCCAACTTCCCTCTATCTTACTCAAACCGAGCCCACTGAAGTCACTCTGATTATTAATTCACTAAAAAATAAATCAGGAAATCTAGCTCATGTCCCACCCCTACTGTTCAAACAACTAGTTCATGTCCTCTCACCTACCATTACATTGCTCTTTAACAAATCACTAAAAACCAGCACTTCCACGACATTACTCAAGATAGCAAGGGTTACTCCAATACACAAAGGTGGGGACCCAACAGATGTAAACAACTATAGGCCAATATCAAACTTGCCTTTGCTATCCAAAATCTTTGAGAAACTCATACACAAGAGATTATACTCCTTTATAACATCACGAAGCATTCTAAACACCTGCCAGTTCGGCTTCAGGAGAAACAAAAGCAAAAACGATGCAACTGTAAAAATGCTAGACCTACTTTACACAGCAATTGAAAAAATGAATATCCATTAGGACTCTTTATCGACCTAAGGAAAGCTTGTGATACAGTAGACCACAGCATCCTACGTCACAAACTTGATCGTTAAGGTATCAGAGGCCATGCACTTGTATAAAGTCTTACCTTACTAACAGACAGCAATAAATCTCTATCAAGGACACAACCTCAACAAAACCCTTGGACGCTGGCGTTCTCAGTCCCCTACTTTTCCTTTTATACGTCAGTGACCTTCCAAATGTATCACAACAACTCAAGACGTATTCTCTTTGCTAATGACACAACTTTTGTCATCTCTCACCCAAATCCAGCATCACTTAACAACACTGTTAATGAAGGGCTCTTAAAAATATCAACCTGATGACTACTAATAAACTTACATTTAACACTGACAAAACCTTCTACTTAATGTTTGGGAGCAGGGCAAGTAATGTCCAACTAAACATTATGATTAACAATACTCTTATTGCTAAACATAATGAGGGAAAATTTCTGGGTCTGCACCTTAACAACAACCTGAAAATTCAACACCTATATCCAATACATAACAGATGGCATCCTCTCAAAGATATGTTATTATGCACCACAAACAGCACTACTTACATTATATTATTCACTGATCTACCCCTACCTCGCTTACATTATTTGTGCTTGGGGGATCCACAATAGCAAATCAGTGTAAGCCAATAACAACTCAACAAAAAGCTGAAGTACAAATGATCACACAGTCCACTGCTAGACAACCCCCCCCCCCACTCTTCAAAGACCTAAATCTACTTACTATACAAAACATTCATTCTTGCTACTGAGCATCCTACATTTACAGAACAATAAAATCTAACATTAATCCCAGCCTGAAGCACTCTCTTGATACTTGCAACAAGATACATAGACATACTACTAGGCACAAAATCTCTATGACATATCCCATGTCTGGCTAAATCTCTGTAAAAATTCAATGTACAGTGGAACCTCAAAAATCGAACTGCTCCCAGCACGACCAATTATGTAAGTGTATTTTTGTAAGTGCTTTTATAAGTGTATTTTTGAGGGTCTGAAATGGACTAATCTAATTTACATAAATTCATTCGGTAAAGGCACTCGAACAGCCTTCTGGACCGAAGAAAGTTCGATATTTGAGGTTCCACTGTACATAAAAGGGCCCAAAATCTGGAACTCTGCCAGAAATCTCTGGAGCCACTGTCTTAGCAGGCATCATTAAAAAAAAGTTTCTCCCTAATATATCCCAACACCAGCTAAATATGTGAATACTATATATCCATATTCTCAGTGTCAGAAACATATGGAAAACAATATAAGCTAATTCTTAATATCTGTAATCCTTCCAACCATTAAAACACTGATTGTGTCCACATTATGTTAATATGCTAGAATTCTCATTACCCATGCAGCCTCTCCTCACTTTGCGACGTACTTACTTACTGACAACTCGGACTTACGACGGGCTCTCCGACCAGTATGCGCACCCAAATAATGTATAAAAAGAGTTGATTTCTTCCATTCTATTTTTAACAATATACAATAGTATATAAACACTTAAAAATATACCAGAAGTGTTATAAATGGTGCAAAGGCGACATTAAAACAATATCAAAGATGGATGACACAAACCCGTACCATTATAGTATGCTCCTCACTTAGCAACGAATTCATTTACCGACACGTTCTTAGGAATGGAACTCCATCGTTAAGTGAGGAGAGACTGTAATCATAATTAAACCTGTAATTCTTTAAACAATTAAAAATGATAAAAGCCATATAGCATGCACTAAAAGGATATTCAATTCTTTCATATTCATTATAACTCCTAAATTTATATTTACAACCACCTGAGAGACTATATAAAACCACTCAATTTGTCATTGCTTTATTAATCTTACGTTAGTCTTAAGTCTGCCTGAAATGCTCTTCATATTAAGGGGCTTTCTACATGCACACCTAAATGTCATTCACCTCTGTACATTGTATCACGCTGAAATATAGTATATTATCTAATCTTATCTATACTATTTACAACTAAGAATATAAGGGAGCACAAAAAATGAAGGATGTCTGTTAATACCGAATGTTCTTTAAATCAAAATGGAGACTTTTTTTCCACAATTGTAACAGTATCTGACAATTCCAGAATTGTCTGCTGAATTTGAAATTAATTTACCCAGTGAACTTTAACAATAACATGTAATCCCAAATCTAACATACTGTGTCTTTTATATTCAAAGTCACTATTCAGAGTGTGAACAACTCTCTGTTTAGTGGATTTCATGTGAAATTTGAAATTAATTTAATCAGCAGTCCATAACATAACTAAACCATAACTTAAAACCATAACAGTTGTTATGGATTAACCCTTAAACGGTCCAAACAGATCGACGTTCAAATTCGTAGTGCTACAAAAGTAGATCTACTTTTTTTTACATATTTTCAAATATAACAAAAAAAAGATGTAGATAAAAGTTTTTTTACACGTCTTCACATGTGAAACAAAAAAAAAAATCTACATTTTTTTACATACTTTCAGATGCCGAAAAAAACGTATATATACGTTTGGACCATTTAAGGGTTAAAGTCCATTAAATTCATATCAATTATGGATTTAATGGACTCTGCCCATTTTTTTCAGATGTTGTCCACCCACAGATTTTGTCCATGAAATCTGAAATTTATTAAATTAGGATCCATTAACCCTTTCAGGGTCCGTCCCGTAGATCTACGGCTTTACGTTCAGGGTCCAAACCTTAGATCTACGTCATGAGCTCAGCTCACTCTGATAAACTGAGTGGTAAATTTGGGCCTAGATATGAGAGAATACATCTATGTGGTATGTGTGCACCACATAAAACAAATCCTGCAGCACACTGTGTATAATGAGAGAAAAAACTGAGACCGTGATTTTCGATTAAAACAGCGACTTTGCAGTGTTTTTTCGTATGTTTTTTTATAGTTGTATTTGTGATTTCTTGGTCTCATTTGATAGAATGGAAGACATATCACAGAAATAGAGATAATTTTGATTGGTGTTAGCACTGGAAATGACTTGAAACTGAGCTCAAAGTGGCGGAAATGTTAAATTTTTGCCGATGTTCAAGAGTAAACAAACGACCTCACACGTCTTATACACGCCAGCTGGTGGGTCTAATATACATTCACAAATGTGGTGATGATATTTATACAATTATTACAATATTGCATAACAGTAAATCTTCTATTTTTTGGTGTGAATAAAAATTCATTATGTGAATAAAAATTCAAAATGGAATTTATTTGTAAAGCCTCAAAACATAACTAATGAACAGAGGAAATGTTAGTTTAGTGCCAGGAATACCTACATTGTTTATTCTGGACCCTATTTTGAAATTGGAATATTTTGAACTTTGTGTTAAATTGGCCAAATTACCAATTTCCGGTCACTATTTTGTAGTTGAAATGGTTGACTTGGCGATTTCTTGTGCTCAATCGATAGAATAGAAGTAATACTAGTGAAATAGCTAAGAATTTGGTCGACTGGAATAATGTAATTGGCCTAAAATGGGAGTCAAAGTCGGCAAAATCGCCGATTCGTAAATATCGCTGACACATCAAAATTCACGAGAACATAATTTCCATCAAATTTCGTAATTTTTGTTTTATTACCTTCACAAAAAGATTCTCTACCATTTCATAAGAAAAAATAACAATTTTTTTTTTTGAAAATTCTTGGACACTGGGGCACCACTTCAGATTTGGGCCTTGGACCCCGAAAGGGTTAAATTAGGATTTTACTGTCCTGCATAGTTTTTTGCAAAGTTCCAGCTTAAATACACTTTGTAAATTTTAAAAATGGAAATGAAATATTTAAAGTGCTATTGATTTACTGTAAAACACCAAATTTATTGCACACCTCCTTAATATATAAATCATTGGTGAATTAATTATATGATAAACATTTACTAAATTTAGAAAAAATGTAATTTAAAAATTATTTCATTTACTAATTCTGAATGTAAAAGCAACTGCAATCTGTGTTGCACACACTAATATTATACTGACAAATTTGGGTGATAATCAGCTTACCATTAGGACAAGCAGCAGTCCCAGGTTCGTCACTCCCATCTTGACAGTCACAATAATCATCATTCACGTATGAAAATGGGATAGTCCCAGAACCATCAAGACAGTTAAAATCTCTCTTTGGGTCATAAAAAGATGCTTCTGAAAAATAAAATTACCAACTGTATTGACGCAATAAAAACACTCACTATTACCAAAAGGATAAACTATTTAAGCTTGTGTTTTAGGTTTATAATTTTCCTTAGTTTCATAAAAATAGATGATTCATATTGGAGTCTAATAAGAAGATTTCAACATAACATCACCCTGAAGTACAGTGGAACCTCGGGATACGAACAGCTCAAATCTCGAACAATTTTATAAATGTATTTATGTAAGTGTGTAGGTGGTAGGTTGATAGGCAGCAACCTCCCAGGGAGGTACTACCGTCCTGCCAAGTGAGTGTAAGACGAAAGCCTGTACTTGTTTTACATGATGGTAGGATTGCTGGTGTCTTTTTTCTGTCTCATAAACATGCAAGATTTCAGGTACATCTTGCTACTTCTACTGACACTTAGTCACACTGCACATGCATACACAAGCATATACATACACACCTCTCTGGGTTTTCTTTTATTTTCTTACTAGTTCTTGTTCTTGTTTATTTCCTCCTGTCTCCATGGGGAAGTGGAACAGAATTCTTCCTCGTAAGCCATGTATGTCGTAAGAGGCGACTAAAATGCCGGGAGCAAGGAGCTAGTAACCCCTTCTCCTGTATACATTACTAGAGTTAAAGAGAAACTTTTGTTTTTCTTTTTGGGCCACCCTGCTTCAGTGGGATATGGCCAGTTTGTTGAAAGAAAGCTTTATGCAAGTGCTTTTGTAAGTGTATTTTTGGGGGTTTGAAAGGAATTAATCTATTTTACATTATTCCTTGTGGGAACGAATTCATTTGGTATCAGCACTCGAACAGCCTTCTGGAAAGAAATAAACTCGTATCCCGAGGTACCACTGTATATGTTAAAGTCACATTACTATGGCTTAAAGAATTCAGGGCAAACCATAACATTACACAAATTTCTTTTTCCAAAGTGTGGGTTATTTCAGTTACATCAACATAGTCATAAATATCTAATACACATCTTATGACTGCAAGTATTTATACATTATTACTGAAAAGGAAGTAGTATTGGGTTATTTGCATTTTACAACTGTGTACTAAAAGCACCATTTGGACAACCAGTGGTATTAAAATCTAAAAACATAACCACAAGTCTTGTGGATCAACTGGACCATCAGTTTGTTAGTAATTACCTATTTGCAGCTACATTACCATTAAGTTCTCCCATCTTCATTAATATGTCCATCACATTTTTTTTTTTAAATTTCTAACGGTTGTAACATTTACTACTCCTCTTTCAATTTGGTCTAGTCTTCTACCACTTGATTCCTAAATAACTCTAAAATTGAAGACCTGCAGATGAATATGTCTTGAGTCATTAATCTCCATTTCAGAGAATCATGCAGAATAAAGTCAGCTTTATTCTGTAGACCATTAGCATGAATCATCTACAAAAAGAAAAACCCACCACACCCACTATTAATGGAAGCTAGTACGTTAAGTAAGTTCATTTAGGTACAGGCACACACAGGTACAATTATCATACACAGTTTAACGTATGTGTAAATTACCTAGGATATTCCAAAAACGTCAGACAAAGTGACATATTTCCATTGGGTCTTCCAACATCTTAATATTCAACCCTATTAGAAATTAGTCACAGTTATAACCTTAAAAATTAAAACAGCAAAGTAACACAACTGTGTGAAAATCAGTTACAGTAAAAGGAGATACAATAGAAATAAAGTGAACTGAATTATTTACATAAAGACGTTCAGCTAACAATAACAAGTACACTAACTACACAAGAAATCCTTTCCTCCCTTTCTGTAGCTTCATTCATTAGGTACTTGTTAGCTCTCTTCCTGAACTGGATCATGCTACGACAGGCTCTGACATGTGCAGGCACTCCATTTCACTCTTTTATTGCTATATTACCTGGAGTTTACCTGGAGAGAGTTCTGGGGTTCAACGCCCCCGTGGCCCGGTCTGTGACCAGGCCTCCGGTGGATCAGAGCCTGATCAACCAGGCTGTTACTGCTGGCTGCACGCAATCCAATGTACGAGCCACAGCCCGGCTGGTCAGGTACCAACTTTAGGTGCTTGTCCAGTGCCTGCTTGAAGACTGCCAGGGGTCTATTGGTAATCCCCATTATGTATGCTGGGAGGCAGTTGAGCAGCCTCGGGCCCCTGACACTTATTGTATTGTCTCTTAATGTGCTAGTGACACCCTGCTTTTCATTGGGGGGATGTTGCATTGTCTGCCGAGTCTTTTGCTTTCGTTGTGAGTGATTTTTGTATGCAAGTTCGGTACTAGTCCCTCTAGGATTTTCCAGGTGTATATAATCATGTATCTCTCCCACCTGTGTTCCAGGGAATACAGGTTCAGGAACTTCAAGCGCTCCCAGTAATTGAGGTGTTTTGTCTCCGTTATGCGTGCCATGAAGGTTCTCTGTACATTTTCTAGGTCAGCAATTTCACCTGCCTTGAAAGATGCTGTTAGTGTGTAGCAATATTCCAGCCAAGATAGAACAAGCCACCTTTAGAGTGTCATGGGCTTGGCATCCCTAGTTTTGAAGGTTCTCATTATCCATCCTGTCATTTTTCTAGCAGATGCGATTGATACAATGTTATGGTCCTTGAAGGCGAGATCCTCCGACATGATCACTCCCAGGTCCTTGACGTTGGTTTTTCGCTCTATTTTGTGGCCGGAATTTGTTTTGTACTCTTGATGAAGTTTCAATTTCCTCATGTTTACCATATCGGAGTAATTGAAATTTCTCATCGTTGAACTTCATATTGTTTTCTGCAATCAAATGAAAGATTTGGTTGATGTCCGCCTGGAGCCTTGCAGTGTCTGCAATGGAAGACACTGTCATGCAGATTCGGGTGTCATCTGCAAAGGAAGACACGGTGCTGTGGCTGACATCCTTGTCTATGTCAGATATGAGGATGAGGAACAAGATGGGAGTGAGTACTGTGCCTTGTGGAACAGTTCAAAGCCTGACCACTTACTGTAGGTACTACAAAACTGTTCACTTCCCTTAGTACCATACTGGTTTTGGTTCCCAACCTTGACAAATTTGGCAGCCAGATACTCTGGACACTGCTTGTGAGCAATTTTATAAACATGATTCAACTTCAGTTGCTTTACTCCGTCTTCAACACTCAGAATGTCCAGTTGTATGTTACAGTAAGTCTGTTAATTTTTAAAACTGTTGTTTACCGCAGTGCTATGTTCTTCGTGTAGCACATCATTTTCTCTTTATATACCCCCTGTGTTTTTTGTAGTGGCTTAATAAATTATTATAATCATAAGTAAGCGTTAAACTCACAAGGGTCATACAGCATTGGCTTAAGATAAGAGAGAAGATTTCATTTGAATTTTTAACCCCAAAGGGTTAGCCACCCAGGATAACCCAAGAAAAGAAGTGTGTCATCGAGGGACTGTCTGTCTTATTTCCATTGGGGTCCTCAATGTTGCTCCCCAGGATGCGACCCACACCAATCGACTATCACCCTAGAATGTACCTACTTGCTGGCTAAGCCTAAGGGACAACAGGTGTAAGGAAACATACCCAACGTTTCCACCCTCGCCGGGGATTAAACTACGGACACCTGTTGTGGGAAGTGAGAACATTGTGAACACAAACCATAATGTCTCTTCGGCTGCGTGTGTCCATTTACTATTCATTACCTTATTCAAATTTTTATTTTTTGATTATGCTGCGCAAAGGTAATGTAATCTACATGTTCTTCTTAAGTAATAAAACAATGTCAGGCACATAAGAAAGCCAACAGTAGGCAAATAAATTTGTTCAAAAACAACCATGGAGAAAATATGCCAATACTTGACAATAATGTCCCCTCATTATACTGTTTGAAGGAAATCTTTATTAAGAATATTACAGCACTTTCAATAATTATATCAACAAAACCCCAATGGAAACTAAGTGTTTCTGAATTTTCTTTGGGGGCTATGGCAGGTAATTTATATATATATTAATCTATAATGCAATTACAGTCATGTAAAATTGTATAATATACCTAAATAAACTTAAGACTAAATTTGTAAAGGGTCATTAACCGCATATGTATTTTGAGAAGACTCAATTTATTGCAAAATAACAGTGAAGATCCCCGTGACCAAGACATAAATGTCATTAAATGTACAACAACGACTAAAAAAAAAAAAAAGGAAACCAACAATTAACATGCAGGATTGTAGGTTGATCCTGGCAACAAGGAATGACATGGAGGCGACCATGAGCTAGAGACTTACTAGAGAGGAGCACCCCCCTGGGTGTGAGCACCTGAGCAGGCTCCACCAGGGCTCCACACAACACCCACACTGCTACAATACTCTTCATGGTGACCTCCTGAGGCAGTTACAAGTACTAGTGTGACCACTGTGAGAGGAGGATCACCACCATCACCTGGCTGAGATGTCTTGTTTACGTCGTGTTGGATCCTTCCCATTGGTGGCTCATCACCCCCTACCTAACACCCCCCCCCCCACCAACCATCTACATTCACAGAAAACTGCTACCCATTTTCTGCTTCCCTTCACACTAACTACTCCTTTTAGTACTAAGTAAGTCAGTTTATTCAGGTATATATAAGTAAGTAAGTTTATTTAGGTATACATAAATACAGTTACATAGAATTATCATACATAGCAGCATATGTGTAGAGAACCTGGGATAACACAAAAAAGTAAAAAAATTCATCAGTAAAATATTTGGGAATCCCCTTTGACCCATGCATGTCAGGAGAATTGATAGGGAACAGTGTAGTAAAGAAAGCGAATGCCAAACTGAAGTTCCTGTATAGACAAGCACAGTGTCTACCTACTGAGGCTCGCAGGACCCTATGTCTAGCCCTTATACAATGCCATATGGATTACGCTTGCTCTTCTTGGTACTCTGCCTTGACAAAAAAACTGAAAGATAGACTGCAAATCACCCAGAACAAAATCGTAAGATTCATCCTGGGGCTGGGACCAAGAGAACATGTAGGCCAGGATGAATTACAGCAGTTGGATATGCTGAATGTTGAAGACAGAGTAAAACAACTGAAGCTAAATCATGTTTATAAAATTGCTCACAAACAATGTCCAGAATATCTTGCTGTCAATTTTGTCAAGGTTGGGAACCAAAGCAATCATAGTACTAGGGGGAGAGAGCACAACTTTGTAGTACCCACAGTCAGTGGCCAGGCTTCAAACACCTTTTATTGTACAGCAATAAAGGAATGGAACAGACTACCCGCACATGTCAAAGCCAGTCATAGCGTGAACCAGTTCAAGAAGAGTGCCAAAAGGTGTCTGATTAATGTAGCTACAGAAAGGGAGGGGAATGATTTTCTAATATTTTAGCTAACATACGTGTAAATTTTACCTTATTCCTTGTAATGACCCTCGTATTGTAGATAGTCTTAATGACCTTGGTGTAGCAGATAGTCTTTTTAGTATGATAATAAGATGTTATCTTCATGGTAGAATAATAAGAAAATATTATAACCTTTATACTATAATAATAAGGTAAAAGGACCCCAATGGAAATAAGTCACTCTGTCTGACTTTTTTGGGTTATCCTAGGTTCTCTACACATATGCTGCTATGTATGATAATTCTATGTAACTGTATTTGTGTATACCTGAATAAACTTACTTACTTACTTACTTACTTATTCCAATGGGGGCCTTTTAATATCTCATTATTATACAATGTAGGAGATAATTTATTATTATTATACTATAAAGGATATATGCTAGGAATAAGGTAAAAAGTTATTTACATTTACATGTGTGTTAGCCAAAAAAAACATAAAAAATAATTCTCCTCCCTATCTGTCACTACATTCATTAGGCACCTTTAGGCTGTCTTCTTGAACTGGTTCATGCTATGACTGGCTTTGACATGTACAGGCAGTCTGTTCCATTCATTTATTGCTGTATAATAAAAGGTGTTTGAAGCCTGGCCACTGACTGTGGCTACTACAAAGTTATGTTCTCTCCCTCTAGTACTATGATAACTTGGGTTCCCAACCTTGACAAAATTAGCACCAAGATATTCTGGACACTGTTTGTCAGCAATTTTATAAACATGATTTAGCTTCAGTTGTTTAACTCTGTCTTCAACATTCAGCATATCCAACTGTTGTAATTCATCCTGGCTTACATGTTCTCTTGGACCCAGCTCCAGGACCCAGCTCCAGGACCCAGCTCCAGGACCCAGCTCCAGGACCCAGCTCCAGGGCCCAGCTCCAGGACCCAGCTCCAGGGCCCAGCTCCAGGACCCAGCTCCAGGACCCAGTTCCAAGACCCAGCTCCAGGACCCAGCTCCAGGACCCAGCTCCAGGACCCAGTTCCAGGACCCAGTTTCAGGACCCAGCTCCAGGACCCAGCTCCAGGACCCAGTTCCAGGACCCAGCTCCAGGGCCCAGCTCCAGGACCCAGCTCCAGGACCCAGCTCCAGGACCCAGCTCCAGAACCCAGCTCCAGGATCCAGCCTCAGGACCCAGCTCCAGGACCCAGCTCCAGGACCCAGCTCCAGAATCCAGCCTCAGGACCCAGCTCCAGGACCCAGGTCCAGGACCCAGGTCCAGGACCCAGCTCCAGGACCCAGCTCCAGGACCCAGCTCCAGGACCCAGCTCCAGGACCCAGCTCCAGGACCTAGCTCCAGGACCCAGGTCCAGAACCCAGTTCCAAGACCCAGCTCCAGGACCCAGCCCCAGGACCCAACTCCAGGACCCAGCTCCAGGACCCAGCTCCAGGACCCAGCTCCAGGACCCAGCTCCAGGACCCAGCTCCAGGACCCAGCTCCAGAACCCAGCTCCAGGACCCAGCTCCAGGACCCAGCTCCAGGACCCAGCTCCAGGACCCAACTCCAGGACCCAGCTCCAGGACCCAGCTCCAGGACCCAGCCTCAGGATGAATACTACCATTTTGTTCTGGCTGATTTGCAGTTTATTTTTCAGTTTTCTGTCAAGGCACACTAACAGCACCTTTCAAGGCAGGTGAAATTGCTGACCTAGAAAATGTACAGAGAACCTTCACGGCGCGCATAACGGAGATAAAACACCTCAATTACTGGGAGCGCTTGAGGTTCCTAAACCTGTACTCCCTGGAACGCAGGCGGGAGAGATACATGATTATATACACCTGGAAAATCCTAGAGGGACTAGTACCGAACTTGCACACGAAAATCACTCACTACGAAAGCAAAAGACTTGGCAGACGATGCAACATCCCCCCAATGAAAGCAGGGGTGTCACTAGCACGTTAAGAGACCATACAATAAGTGTCAGGGGCCCGAGACTGTTCAACTGCCTCCCAGCATACATAAGGGGGATTACCAATAGACCCCTGGCAGTCTTCAAGCTGGCACTGGACAAGCACCTAAAGTCGGTTCCTGACCAGCCGGGCTGTGGCTCGTACGTTGGTTTGCGTGCAGCCAGCAGTAACAGCCTGGTTGATCAGGCTCTGATCCACCAGGAGGCCTGGTCACAGACCGGGCCGCGGGGGCGTTGACCCCCGGAACTCTCTCCAGGTAAACTCCAGGTAAACCATGGAGAGCAAGTGTAGGTAGACACTGTGCTTGTCTGTAGAGCAACTTCAGTCTGACATTCGCTTTCTTTACTACACTGTTCACTATCAATTCTCCTGACATGCATGGGACAAAGGGATTCCCAGATATTTTACTGAGGAAACGGAAGTGAAGTAAGATAATATTTACTTCGGAGAGTCAGCCGCCCAGAATAACCCTAGAAAAGTGTATCATCGAGGGACTGTCTGTCTTATTTCCATTGGGGTCCTTAAATCTTGTCCCACAGGATGCGACCCACATCAGTCGACTAACACCCAGGTATCTACATGCTTGCTAGGTGAACAGGGACAACAGGTGTAAGGAAACTCAACTCACACACCGTGACTCTCGAAATTGTAATGACACAATTGCAAATAAACCATACCACGGGCGGGGATAGAACCCGCTATCAGAAAGTCTCTGATTGCGGGTTCTATCCCCACCCGTGGTGTGGTTTGCCACACACCGTGATCCGGGGATCAATCCCCGGTACGGGTGAAAACATTAGGACGTGTTTGACACCTGCTGTCCAATATTCACACGTCAGTAAAATAGGTTCCTGGGTGTTAGTTGACTAGTGTGGATCGCATCCTGGGGACAAAACTGCCTCAATTTGCCCGAAATGCTCTACATGACGAGGGGCTTTCTATATAGTAGTATGTCATTGATATTATCTAGACCTGTATACCTTGTACATGTACTTGTAGAAATAAACATTATTATGAAACATGCTGTGGAAATTTATTTGGTCCCTAAAGTTCCACAGCAGATCCAGCATGGACGTATGGGACAGCTGAGCCGGGCGGCCCTTAAACCCTCCCAAACAAACAAAGCATTCTCTGGTTGGCGATTGTTGGTAAGCTTATTTAATTTATAGATTTACTCTTCAGGGAAGGAGTAGGTAGTTCTACTGATAGTATATTAATATTAGGTTTACTAAGGCAAATGTAGATAATAATAATGTAGACCTAAGACCTTAACATAGGTAGTAATAGGCCGATAATGTAGGCAAACACTAGGATAAGTTAGCTAGGGAGAACTGGCAGCCCTAGCTTGAATGATGAGGCGCAGGTCTCAAGAACACAATAGCGTTCTTCTTACGACAGACACCATCAAGACAAGACGTGCCGTGAACAACAGACGGCGCCCCACGTGTCTTCACATCTGAGACCCGGGGGAAATCGGGTAGAGGCACCTTGATGTACCATAGATGACCTCCGTCAGGCCCTTACAGTAAGACAAGACCTTCACTTTTTTTCTCGTAGATTCTGGCCAGTGTCTTGGGAGATCGTGGGTGAGTTTTAACTGTGGGCCCGGTGTGCAACAGAGAGAGCATGCCCAGTAAGTACCAGTGTCTCAGAGCCGTCTGAAGCTAGGGTCTGAGTCTGCATAGTTATACTAGGGGATACATACCCTCTTGGATATAGGAATTTCTGAGGTGCAGGCAGGACACTAATTACGATTGAATATTGCAGGAATTAATGCTCCCGGTTGCACGTGGGTCCTGAGGGGGAGTCCAAAGGGGCTAAGGCTAGCTTGGGGAAGTGAAGATCAGGATATATGCTGCAACACCAAGTAAGTTAGTCCTTTATACGTGCATGCAGGCGAGGTTTCTTGCAATACCAATCATTTGTGAAAATCTGTCCTATAAGCCACTTGTGAGGCTGAGGTACCCACCTCAGAGCTCGGTGTCAACAGAGTTTGCCAGGGTAGGCGACTCACTTGGAGGCAGTCCACACAAATTTTCACAAAAGTGGTCATTCGAAAACCGTGATGTGGAATAGCTAGGTTAAGCTATCATAGCTAGGCCACAGTTAGGAACCAGTTTAACGGAGTTAGGTTAAGCTATCATACCTAGGCCACAGTTAGGAACCAGTTTAAAAAAGTTAGGTTAAGTTAGCACACCTAGGTC